AAGTGGTTGGTAAGGTATTGGTAAGTGGTTGGTCAGGTATTGGTAAGTGGTTGGTAAGGTGTTGGTAAGTGATTGGTAAGGTATTGGCAAGTGATTGGTAAGGTATTGGTAATTGGTTGGTAAGGTGTTGGTAAGGTATTGGTAAGGTATTGGTAAGGTATTGGTAAGTGGTTGGTAAGGTATTGGTAAGTGGTTGGTAAGGTATTGATAAGTGATTGGTAAGGTATTGTCAAGTGGTTGGTAAGGTATTAGTATTTTTTTAACACTAGATGATACTACAGGGCTGTATGAAGACCATTTGTAGTAAAAAAATATCTGTGAATATCTGCTTTTAACTATTAATTATAGTTAAATGTAAAAATTATACTGTCAACATCAGCACACATGGTATTATGATGTTAATCTAATGGATGTTCTGGGATCCCCTGGTACAGCTGTATACTCACTGTCTGTAGTTAAATGCAATGTCTGCAAATTCTTTCCTTCTGGCTCTGTACACAGGATCAGTAAATCCCTACATTGAAATACAAAGTGATTCATTACTTTAAGAAGGAATCAAGGGTGGCTTATTAGCAGTAACTAGTACAGTTTTCTTTTTTTTTTCCTCTGGGATTTCAGGTTTGATTTCTGGAAATTATCTGGTTTTGACCTCCCTCCACAAAATATTCACATTAACTTTCAATTCAATTTCAGTGAGTTATCTATGCCTTGACCTACAGCATCCCAGAGGACAAAAGTCCCCAGTAACCATACATTTCTTTGTAATTTTTAAGATTTTTGGGAGGTTGCTAAACAAAAAGTATGAAACCCAAAATCTTGAAACTCCAGAAATTTGCTAATTTCAACATACTCTTTCTTGTTATGGTGTTTGTTTTTTTACTAGGATAATTCTAAAAACTCATTTCCATTCCTCATTCGTTTCTAAAGTGGGCAATTTGAATAACTATTGTTCTGGACTGACTAGCCTCTCATACATGCGAAAACACTTGTTTACGATTTTACGATTTTACGATTTTTGCAATACGAGACTGTATGATCATATACAACACTGGGGGTTAAATCATTATAAGCTATCCATAGTAACTTTTCCCCTTCGTACGGACGGGATAAACACGTACGGTTGGATCCCATGCATATGAACGGATCTCGTGCGAGGGGTTCATGTGCGACACACGCAGTTGACCCTAAAAAACTTCTGGCCTGTACTAATGTACTCAAAGCATATGGCACCACTTTTTTTTTGTCATTTAAAAATTGCTGTAGTTAATAAAATTATGAGCTTGTACTTACAGGGTGATCTGAATCTAGTTCTGCACCATAGCTGAGAACCCTGTTGGCAAACTTGTCAATATCTGAGATCTTCTGTGGAAACCATGGCACTAGGAAACAATACCCAAATGCTTCATTTAACAACAGTATTGATAAATACCCAAATGACTAGAAAAACATATTCAATAGAGTGTGTTCACGGCAGCCACGTTGGTGCCAGAAACAATGCAATATTTTTGCATGACAAGAAAACTTATTTCCCAAGGGAAAAAATTCCTTTTGTTTAACCAACTAACATGGCTGCCATGAACACACTCTATACATGTATACATGCACAGGTTCAATAATTACAAAAGTACCAAAGGCCACATTTCCAAGCTCTTGCAAAATGATTGCAACTTTATTTTGGTTGCTTGAATGGCAATCTAAGGGACGGACCATTAGATTTGGGGGGGGGGGGGTTGGGCAATTTATTTTGTGCAGGAATTTTTTTACGTCTCATGGCTGTGAAGGACTTTTTTTTGGACAGAATTTGGAATTTTTTCTGGCACTTGTCTTATGCATGATTTTTTTTTCACTCTTCAAAGCTGTGCTCAAATTTGTTTTGGGATTTTGCCCAACCCCCCTTCCCACCCCCCTCAAAAATCCAATGGTCTGTCCCTAAGTGCTTACTTGTCTCTGCAACGCATTGAAAGCGCTTTTTTAAATACTAACATTGTACTGGTGGCTGTTGGAGTGGTTTTAATATCAGTGGGAAACACACAAAACAGACATGTAACTCATATACGAGGTATGACGTCATACCACAACATTGATTTTCAGTGCCTTCCCATTGACTTCCAATAATATTCACCCTTACGGCTAACTGTAAGATATGCTACAGCTAATCAGCGTGGCTACGAACATTCCATTTCATTTTCCACTCATAAGAAAGCTGTTGTTTATATTGATATTTTATATAATATTCTTTACTGATTTTTTTTTTCAATGTCCAAAGTGACAAAAGTGAGCATGACAAGATGGGACAGAGTGTTTTTATTGAAAGAGTATACATGTGTTGTCCTTTAGTAAAAGTGGTTAGTCTGTGGTACACAAGGAAATGTTCCTTGAAACTGGCTTTGCAAATTTGCTGCAAGACAATCAGCTGCACCAGAAATTGGTTACATATATAAATAGATGCCACTTCGGGTAATAATAGAGAGTTTAAGAATTTCGTTAATGGCAAACGTGAAACATCAGTTGACCATTAAATAATTCCTTAAAATTAGTGAAAGGAATCATAAAAATCTCCAAGAAGAAGATAAAAATAAGAAGATGTGTCGTTGTCGAGAAGGTTTGCAAAAGGTAAAGTGAAATGTAGGGAAACGATGAAAACGTGGTCATGTTTGCCGTTTGCGGGAAGAAAAAACTGGAATCTTAATCTGCCTAATATCTGTGTTTTCACTGGGGGCCGGGCAACTAGCATTATTTTGTAAGCTTAAAGGATCTAGGAGGTTGTATGTGTGTCTGTGTCTTGAATTCTGGTTTCAGGTGGTAAGAAGGTCAGATACTTTGAGGACAAAGTTTGTCATGTTTTGACTTATCAGTTGGTAGTTGCATATGAATAATACTCCCCTGTCACTTCCTAAAAGTTACATCATTGATATATAGTAAGCAATCATTGGCAACCAATAAAAGTTCATTGTGCATAATTGATCACCTTAGTCCATTACAGTTGAATAAAAGAAAAAAGCTGACATGAAGAATAACTTTGTGTAACATTTGCTGTCGGTTGTAACAATTGCACTGCACTTTTTTATTAATAGCAGAACAAAATTGTGAGACAAGTTGCAAGGAACATTACCTAATTTAGCACCATCTTATATCAAGAGATTAGCTACATTTAAGCTTTATAAGTATTATAATTAGTGTGATTAACATTACTGAAAGAACTGCACTAACAGATGTACCGTACATTAGAGACAGAGTTGCAGGTTACAGTGATGTTTAAGCAGGAAATATAAATTTCTTGCAAAACTTACCATCGTCATACTTTGACTGTGAGCCTTAATGAAGACCCAACACCACAAGACACAGACAAAAAAAATTATCCAAAAATTAATAACTGTATCAATATTACACACTATATCATGGGATTATTGGTTAAATACTATTAACACTGTTAGGAATATTACTATGGACAATGCAAGATGCTCTCAAGGCTCTCAATAACTGTTACTAAATACCAAACAAAATGGCTTAATAAATACTGTAAGTTTTAAAAAAACATCAAATGAAAAATATATGATCATCAAAAATGAAATCTATTGAAATTATTGTACAAAAAAGTTTTCCGAGATTGTTATGTCATCCTGTTAAGTTCTTTTGGTCATTTTGCTCATAGAGAAAATTTGAATTTTTTCACCAAATTCGTGATGTCATTCGCTTGCCAAAATTATAACAATCAGAAAAAGTAAAAGCATAGGATTTTGAATACCATGGTTATGTGTTTCTTGCCAAGGTTTTAATAAGTTTAGAATTGAAATATAAAAGTTATTGCAACAATGTTGCTTTCAGGTGTCTTTGTCCCAGACATACTATATCAAATGTTTTTCACTCATCTACATGTACTAACAGAATGTTCATTATTCATTACCTGAGCCTTCATCATCAGAAAGGATAGTGATGCTCGCTGCTTTTTCTTTCAGTGATTCAACAAACTGGCTAAGCTTGTTCCCATTCAGACCTTCACAGTCAACAAAAAAATCGTACCTCGTTTTGGAGGATTTGGATGGACGGGATTCGATGTGGGACATGTTGACTTGATGCTCCTGTGGAAGGTACCACAACAATGTTTAAGTTTAGTTTAGATTAATTTTAGATGCATTAGCACAATAAGTCAAAATAAAATGGGATGTGACTGGAGAAAGGAACAGAACTTACGTCCCAGTTGCAACCTTATCCCATAAAAATATCACTAAAAAATGGGAAATTATTGTTTGTCATTTGCAGGGAGCCAAATTGTTTGATAGTCTTCTGAGTCTTATGCTTAGTAATCTTTTGACCCAACATCTAAATTGGAATTAATAGTTGATTTTTATGAGGGGGAAAAATCAGAGAACTCAGAGAAAAAGCCTCGAGTTCCCAGAGAGAACTTAGAAACAACAAGTAACAGCATGCCTGGATCAACATACAATGTAAAATAAGCCAACTTTGGTCTCCCGTAACTTTGGTGCTTTTTAACTAGTGGATACGCGAAGAGTAGAAACGAGTTATTGTGAGGGGTCTGAATATGCAAATGTTTCACTCGCTCACACTCGTTCACTAAGATGTTAACTAGCAAATCGATAATTAAATGTTTATCAATCGTCTTACGTCATCTGATTACGAACGTTACACGACACTAACAAGCACACAGCTCTTATTCAGTATAGACTACTTTCGCTATTTATATAACAAAATGAACAGCTGATGATTCATGTAGGATATTTCTAGCACTGTGTGGACCTATTGTGCATGTGCACACTCGTACTTAGTCTTATATTCAGAGTTATATTCAGAGTCTTATATTTATATCAAAATAATCAAGGAAAGATGCAAGTTGCAGTAAAATAATACGATTGACGCCTAAACTAAAATCCCAATGAAATGAAATTGAGTGAAATACTTTGAAACCTTCAAATGTCAACAAGCATAAGGACAAAGAGAGCCCAATCACTGGAAAGTGCAATTAGTATCCACGAGTTCGCCAAAGGGCAGTTTGATTATCAAAACTACTTTCAAATTTTACCAATTATGACCGCACACAGCAATCAAGTTTTCTATTCTTTCATTGCATAACATGTTAATAAACAGCAAGTGTTATTAATATTGTGTAGCATTATAGTGTTGTGTGTTCTTATTAATGATTTCGTTACGTTATTGTGTTGTTTTTTAACGGATAGCTATATGCAAATTTATAAACGTTTGGTAAAAGATATTTAAGGTGGCTTGACTTGACGCTTGACCGCTACCTTCCACATTTGGAACGCTGGTGCATAAACGTGTTTTGTCCGATTGCAAATCTTTTTTGCACATAAGTCACATAAAGATCGAAGTAATGTTTGATGCAGTTTTTAATGAGATCGGACGTCATAACACATGATTATGATGAAATATTTGTTTTTGTTTAGAGAACAATTTTAGCCTTGCAGAGCGTTCAATACTAAAATGCTTCATACCACATAATTATATACTAGATGCCTCCATTTGTAGGGATTTTTGAAAAAATCTATCTAGCCATTTATGAGATATTTGAGATTCTTTAAATATAGTGCATAATCTACTTCAAAACTAAACAATGGATTTGATACGGCCGAAATTAATATTTCAGAGCTATATATTCACAAAAGTCATTGCTCATTTAGTTTTACTCTCTATCTAGTCTTAAAAGAAACATTTTGAAGGTAATCGACTTATGCGATTTTGTGAAAACGCATAATGCATAAGACAGGGTAAACATTTCATGCGCATTTTTCATCGCAGTGTTCTAGGCAATCTTACTAGATCTTCCATTATTCTAAAATTCGTTGATAATTTCTCTCAAAACTACGTCAGGACACAAATTAAAACTTAAACTAATATTACACAAAATTGCAAGACTATTGAACTCATTTAAAGCGATCTAAAGCGTACGAGAAATACAAAAAACATTGTTCGTTTCCCAACGATTTGATGCTCTGGGAATTCYATTGTTTGCTAATGATCATAACATCAAATTCTTTCACACCATGCACAATCTCATCTCACTTGGCTGCTTTCCAATTTGCTACCAAAGTATAGCAATAAACATTGAAGGAGATAAAATATGCTCGAGATAAGTCACACAATTTTTATTTGAGGCATGTTCGCCGATTCTATTCACTCACACTGACAAAGTACAGCATGACAAACGTTTTAATAAAAAAAACTGTTTATCACCATACTTCGGGAGTAAATCGGAAAGCAGCCAAGCGAGATGAGACTGTACATGGTGCGAAAGAATTTGATGTTATGATCATTACCAAACAAATTTAAAGAATCTCAAATATCTCAGGATTAGGTAGATAGATTTTTTCAAAAATCCCCACAAATGGAGGCATCTAGTGTATAATTATGTGGTATGAAGCATTTTAGTGTTGAACGCTCTGCAAGGCTAAAATCGTTCTCTAAACAAAAACAAATATTTCATCATTATCATGTGTTATGACGTCCAATCTCATTAAAAACTGCATCAAACATTACTTCGATCTTTATGTGACTTATGTGCAAAAAAGATTTGCAATCGGATAAAACACGTTTATGCAACAGCGTTTTCCAAACGTGGAAGGTAGCGGTCAAGCGTGGGGGGTCCAGCCACCTTAATTAGTTCCAAACTGAACAGATTTTGAATTACAAATGAACTACGTGTCAATCCTGGCTCTGAGACATCTAAAGAACAACACGTATAAGCTTAATACATATATTCATTGTAAAAAATAGTACAAATAAATAATAATTTTATTAAACAACCTGTTAGCAATAAATAATCAATTGGTAATTCGATATTTCATCTATATTTTGCGACATTTATTTATCATTTCTAAGATTTTTTGGGGGGAATTACTATTAATTGCGAAAAGATTTTATTATATGTAAGTTAATATAATATATAATTTTCACAAACTCACCTCAAATAGTTTCAGAGCTCTAACTAAAGCTCCCACTTTTTCGTCAAGTGTAAATACGATAGTGGTCTTTGGAGGTTCTGCATCTGCTGCATGCTTCTATGAACGAAAAAATGAAAATATATCATGGCATTTTTGAGTTTTTTCAACTTAAATTCATGAACAGGTTTTCTGCTTTTCTTGTAAACACTAGATCACCCGCAAACCAAGAATGGCAAATTTTACCTAAAGTTTTTTATATATTTTGTTGAAAATTACAAGGATTATAGATAAACAGCTAAAATGTCGAATTGTTTAATATTTTTACCTTAGTTTTACCGAATTCATCCTCAATTTGGAAGTGTTTTCGCTTGATTCCAGCGTCCATATTAGAACCTTGTGCTCACCAGGGACAATAACATGTGACGTGGTACAATGGGCACCCTGGGGGCAAGATGGGGGCTGGGCTCTACTCAAAGATCCCATTCAAATATGGGACTTGGCAGGACCTTACGGGAACTGTTTCAGTTTCTTTCTCTTTTCTTCTTTCTTTATTTCATTATTTCGCCACAATATAAAACTTATGATAAGCGTGCGAAGTTAGGAGCAGACAGGCAGAAAGAACAAAAAATAAAAGAGACATAAACAGACGGACGAATAAACTTTTAAAGGCAAACAAACAAGCGATATACAAATCACTGGTGCTACAAATCAATGATCACTGAAAACCATACCCTGTTTGGCGGCAGGTACCGTATAGCAAATATAGGAGAGTACCCCCCCCCCCCTCCCTCCGTGATCATATTTTTGTGTACAAATTTGGGATATATCTATCACAAAAAGGAACATCTCTCGACACGAACCTGTACATAACCATGGGTTCCCTTGTATCCTTATCTTGGTTATTGGGTATCGAAAAATGAAGCCACATATAACCATGGTTCCCTTGTATCCTTATCTTGGTTATTGGGTATCGAAACATGAAGCGTCGTTGTATTGTGCGGGAGTAACATGATATATACCAAACAAGTTTATTTTATTGTTTAACTTTGCAATAGGAACATCGATCTACCATGTTGAATTCATTCAAGCTACATCGTGTACATAAGATATAAACTGGCCAAAGATATTAATAGAGCAATAGAAAAGACTTAGAATCCCCGTGCTCTATCACTCTAAGTGCACCACGCGACGCGCGTGCAGAAAAGCAAACGATGGCTACAAATGTGATCCTAGAAATAAGATCAAACAGTGCCTATATGAGGGTTAAAAGCATCAATTCCAGATATTTCTTCTCTTGGTTCATTTTCTCTTGTAGAGCGGTTATCGTATGAGTGGGAAACTATAGGGCAAAATTACCGTAACCGTAACTACGTGTTCTGATTGGATGAAGTACGGGAAGACAATGAGAAGCCATTTTAATGTTACGGCATGTCGTAACATCCACTTTCTGTATGTCAGTAACATATGTTTCCCTCTCATACGAAAACAACTCTATGTTTTATCTACTCTTAAAGATATACATTTACTAATAAATAATAAATCATTATTAACCAATACAAATTCATTCGTATTTCATGACGAAATGTGTCAACTAGCTTTCTCCCTCCAACTAGAAGAGATGAGTGATATTTTTGTGATATTTTTTGTATATGTATTTGTTATATATATTAATTTACGCTATTTTTTTCATTATTGGTGCTTTGTCTTTTTACTTGGAACTGCAGACTTCTTGCTTCCAAAACCCTGTCGCAAAACGGACTAGAAATGAAAAAAAAGAGTAAGTTTTAAATTTTTCCCCTTTTTTTTAAAATACCAGCATTGCATGTTAGACTATAGGAGATGCAGACAATATAGGTTTTGTAGACGTCAATGAAAGCGTTTCCATGGTGCAGGAAAACAGAAAACCCATTCATATGGAATGTCATGGAAACGCTTTGATTGACGTTCGAAAGCCTACTTTCGTTCTTCGTTGCGACGAATTATTCTATTTCGCACGAGTGAATGGGAAGCATTGTCAGAAATAGAATGAAAATCTGCTCACCGCAAATCTTTGTTGTAGTAAAGGCATTTGGGGCGTTCCTTGCACTTGTGGACTGGATTGCATTTGCAGACTAGAACGCATTTGTGGGTTGGCTTGCATAGGTTGTTCAGGCTGCATGATGAAGTTTTGTTCAGGCGACATTTGACCCCCAAGCACAGACGATAAACCATTGTCTGAACTCTGAACATTAGACTCTGGGGATCCTGTTAAGAGATTTGAACCAAGATATTTCAGTACATAGAATGTGCATGCAAATCAGGTAGCTGCACAAGCATCACAAGCATCGCAATGGTTATAGCATTAATACATGACAAACGATCCCAGTATCATTTGACCCAACATTTGACCCAACCCTTGACCCAACAATCCTTTTCTCACCCCCCCCCC